AATATTATTGTACGGATGTGAAATATAAAATATAAAATACAATTATCTTACGAATACTGTTTTTCAAATAAAAGTTTTTCATATACATGCCTTGTACATTTACTATTTATCGCATCTTTTACATACTTATCTTCCAGATTGTTAGTGGTGATATTCAAGGAGTCAGTCAGGCATCAGTGTCGCGTATTGTTACAAGAGTGTCAAAAATTATAGCTTCACATTTAGGGCAGTACATCACGTTCTCCACACAAGAGCGCCGAAGACAATATATGAATCAATTTTACGAGATAGCCAATTTTCCTTCTGTAATAGGATGTATTGACTGTACACACATACGCATTGCTAATCCTGGAAAACATAATGGAGAAATATTTCGGAACCGAAAAGGATGGTTCTCTGTCAATGTACAGGTATATTTTTCAATTTATGTATTTATAATAGTTTGCATAAGAATACGAAAATAATAGGCTTGTCTTTTTTAACTTCTTGCACTGTTTATTTTGTCTCTTTTTTTTCCAACGTGGAAAGAAAAAGACAAAAAGATGAATTGTATGTGTATAATAAGTCTGGAAAAAGAAACAGACTTAATGAACCACTTGGGACTTATTTGCCGTTATAGGTTGTGTCTGGACCAAATCGAGAAATCCTAGATATAGTTGTGAGACATCCTGGTTCTGCACACGATGCCTTGATATTTGATCGAAGTGGTGTGCGATGTCGTTTTGAATTAGGACATCTCGATGGTATTTTATTAGGAGACAGCGGATATGCGTGCCGCAGATATTTACTCACTCCTGTATTAAGGCCTCAAAGTGATGCAGAACTCAGATACAACACTGCACATAAGCAGACCAGAGTAACTATTGAACAACTGTTCGGAATGTGGAAGCGCCGCTTTCCATGTTTATATTACAGTTTAAGAACTAAACTAAGCACATCCGTTGCAATTATATGTGCGATTGCTGTTTTACATAATATATGTATTCAACATAAACTTGATGAAATTCCAGAACAGGACGTATACGACGATGTATTTGAGGCTATTTACAATCATGAAGAAGGTGGTATTGGACTTGCTCATAGAACTGCCTTTATAACAAGACATTTTTCATAGAAAATATTGCTAAGAAATAAATCTTTTCGTAAATATATTGAGGAACTTAATTTTATTAATATCAATCATTTTATAAAAGTAAACAATTTTGTTATTGTTCCAAAACATGCAAATAAAATTAATAAATTTTTTGAACATATTTAAGTGATAAAGGAACTCATACCATATACTCAATCTACTTATTAGACTTAATAATATAATTTAAATCATTTAGTACACATAACTCTTTGGTAACATATGAAAGCTTAATTAAATATCACAAGATTACTCTGTAATCACAGTTCCCTCAGATTGCAGTTGGACTGTCTCTTCTGTTAAGGAAAGTTTCAGCAATGTAATTTTCAATTCAGCATCTACAACCTTCAATTTTATAGCATGCAGTTCCCGTTGCTGTTCAATAGCTTCACGAAGTTTTATCAACCGTAACTCTTTTTCGTCACGTATATTTTTAAGTTCATTGCCTACATCAGGCTGAAAAGCTACTTTAGAATTGTTGACGTTTCTGCTTATATTTACTATATCATTTGAATTACATTTTATTATCTTCGTGTTGATGAGTTTTGAAGTATCAAATTGTTTAGGCACATCAGGCACGGCATCATCCTCATCATCACTTATAATTATTTGCCTTTTCCCTGAATCACTTTTTATATTATCTAAAAACAAAAGACAAGAAAATTACTCAAAATATTGGTTCAAGTAAAGAAAAATATCTATTAAATCTTTATAATGAACATACATACATTCTTTTTCGAATTCAGCAGTACTGTCATATGGACACCATACTTCAAGATCCAAGTTTGGAGTTGCGGCATCCATAGCATCCATGACTGGATCATTAGGTATCGTTACTGGACAACCTCCACCCGTCATAAGACGCTGAGCCTTTATTGTGGTGTTTAGCTTCTTTTTCCTGAAATAATGAATTAATATAATTATGATAACAACATGAAATATAAGTATAACTGTAATTACGAATATATGCACATTGATATTTTACAAAAACATATACTACATACTCATTATTATTAATGTTAATAATAAAATAAGATAGATATTAATACATGAGATAAGTACTTCTGCTTCATGTTATCCCAGCATTTTTTAAGCTGTTTGCTAGTACGGGGTATACAGCCTTCACTGCAGTATTTTTTAACAATTCTTTCCCAACCTTCAGTTTTAGCTTTCAAATCTGTTGCTCCTGTTCTTTTATTTTCTATTACATCTTTTTCTTCAGATACTAGTTGAGCAAGGAGCATCCGCTCCTTTTCGGTATAATGAATA